TTGACAGTAAAGAAATGTATATGTTTATTTTTAGACTTCATATGATGTTTTTTACTGCTTTAACCGAAGCATTCTGGGTTAAATGATTTAATTTTTAATACAATAAAATAAAATTTATTTGCAAAATTGGATCTTCATTATATTGATATCTTCAATTTTATATTAAAATCTAAAATTCTTTTTTTTTTTTTTCTAGAATGTCTTAAACATTTTTAATTCTTATACAAACCAAAAAGAATGCAAACTACAGAGAAATATATATATCTTGGAATTTTTTTAAATTCCACTTTAAGCCTAAATAAAAATTTTAACAGAGGATACAATGTGATTTGTATTGTATATGTTAATCAAATTGTTAAACACTTCATTTAACTTCAAAAGCATTTTTACATGAGTAATCAATATATGATAGTTACATGACATAATCAATTAACTATCAGTTATTGAAAGAAAAAAAATCAAAAAATATTTTTAAGTAATTGTGATCTAAAATTTTAATATTTTAAAAACTTTTTTGAGACGTTAAATGCTTACTGGATACTCGTAATACTTTTTACATTTTAGTCGATTTTCCTCCACGCGTTCGAATGATACTCTTAGACAAGATGGCAGAAGTTGAGTTAGTTGTTTTAGATTAAAGTTGTTATTTGATTTTTTATTATTATTATTTTAAGTACCATGTTTACATAAGTTTAACTGTTTTGGGCTGATTTAATATTATTAAATTATTTTTAGGTATCGTTTAGCTGCTGGAACTTCAGAAAAGATTCAGCTTAGTAGTTTAATTGCGTGTTTTCAGTGCATACGAGACACTGTTGTTGATGAAATAAAATAATAAAGAGTTTTTGTGTTGTTTCAACAAAAATACAGGGAATAATTTTTTAAGCCGTGGAACAAAAAATGTTAGTATCGATAATACAGATATACAGATCAAGAATTTAACAGTTTTAACCCATTTGGTTGCAGTTATTTTTGTAGTTTTTTCATATTTCAGAATTTCAAGCAAAAAAAGAAGCTTCATTTACTGTTTGTTTTTGAACTACAGTTAGATCCATTATACCTTCGTGACCAATGACACGGTTTAGTAATGATGCTCAAATAGCGTTGGTACCACAAACGCACTCAAGTGACAATATTTTCAAATTATTTCCGTTAAACTGTCTTTACGTAATTTACAATGTGATGTCTTGTTTTTATGTAATTGCTTCAAAGATCAATTTAAACGTGTATTTTGGTTCCTCCCTAGTCAAAAAGTCTTATGGTATCCTATAAAAATTTGGAACAAAAAAAATTCAGATTTGAACCTCATTAAATTAAAACACATAAGGGGTCGTCCATAAAGTACGTACGCTCATAATAAGGGGGAGGGGGGAGGTCTTCAAAAAGCGTATGGGGGGAGGGGAGGTTCAATTTAAAAGTACGTACATCGATTTTCTAATTTATCACAATTAACCAGCTAATCAATAGAAAAGTTAAAATTCTAAAGATCCTAGTTTGTCAACATAAAAAGATGTTTGGTATAGGGAGTAGAGGGTATAGTTTCCCTCAATTCACGCACATGCAAGGGGGCCCGAACGAATTTTTGATGTTCCAGATAGGACACTTTCACACATTGTACAAACTTTAAATTTAAGTATGTTAATACCTATGCTAAACGAGGAGGCCTTGCAAAAAATTAAGAAGGCGGAGGCCTGGGAACAAAAAAGCCCTGAAACGCCCCCCCTTAAAAAAAAGAGGAGGCGTGTAAATTTTGTATGGTCATAACTTATGTAATTTACAATATTTTTCTACAAAATTTTAAATCTGTCGATAAATTTAGTTTTAGATGGTAAAGTTGAAATTTTACTACATTAGTGCCCTCACGCTTAGACGGAGGGAGGGGAGACTTTAAGCTTTTTTGTTCCTTGGCCTTCGCCATCCCAATTTTTTGCAAGGCTTCCTAATTTGGCATAGTTATACTTAAATTTTAGAGCTTGCACAAATTTCACACTTTGGCATAGGTATACATATTTTGGAGCTTGTGCAAGCTCCAAACTTAAGTATACCTATGCTAAATGTGTGAAAGTGTCCTATCTAGAACATTAAAAAAATCCTGCGGGCACACATGCCGCCCCTTATATACTGGCCCTGAGTAAAGCGTATTTCAGGCAATTTATTTTTTGAGTCGACAAAAAACAGGTTTAGCAGTGCCGTGGCTAATAGGTCGGAAGTCCCCTCAAAAAGACGTGTCATTTGGGTCTCAAAATCTTCCAAATTTTACCGCTAGGTTTCGCTATAATAAAAAGCACCTTAAATTAACAATAAGAAACAAAAATTTTTGTACTTTTCTTTTCAGTGGAAAAAAAGTTGGGGGGGGAGTATTTCAAAAACGTACGTACTTTTTTAAGGGGGAGGGGGGAAGGTCTCAAAGTACGCATGGCAACAGGGGGAGGGAGGGGGATCAGGTTTTCAAAAATTTTGGCGTACGTACTTTATGGACAACCCCTAAATTGAATATTGTTTATAGTTATCAAAGTCTGTTTTTTGTTTGTTTCAAAATCCTATAGGATTTTTTTGCTAGGGCTACACTGCCATGATAAGGGTAGGTAGAAGAAGGTGGTTGAAAGACAAGTTGATTAGATGTCAAGATGATTTTCCTTCTAGGTCAGAATTAGATATATAATATTTATATATAGTATTTTCGTAACCTAATATATGGATATAATAATAAAAGTAAGAAACTGTTAATTATCATTTAACAGTTTCTTTATATTTTTATCTTCTTCTAAAATTTAGGGTACATCTAGGTTATATTTAGCATTATTTTATTGGCTATAAACTATTACTAATTTCTTATCTTCTAATAACACTTTTCTCGTGAGAATAGGTTTTTGCCTTTTTGTAACCTACAAAAATTAAATTCAAAATAGTCTAGTAAAAAAAATTAAGTTAGGGGAGAGTTGCCTTAATTGGAACACTTGCATTTATTTTAGAAAAAAAAAAATGAGTTATTGGGTATGTTTTGCTTTTTTCTAGTAAAACTTTTTATTTTTTATGTTTTAACAGATTTTGAAAGTTTTCCCTCAAAAAATGCATAGTGCACCTTTGATATAAAGCTTTTTGCATAATTTTGTGTTCACACTATATTAATTGCGCTGCACAGTGAAGCGAAATGACCAAAAAGCGGCCAAAACTCCAAGTTTTGTAAAGTAATAAACATTTTTATTAAACTACTGTTCCAATTCAAAAACAAACATAAAAAGTGGGTAAATAAAAACTTTTCAAGTTGTATACCCCTCCCTTATCCCCCTCCCTTCCTCCCCCCTCCGTCCTTGAATTTTTGGTGCAATTTTTTTAATTTTTAGATTCTAGAAATCATTCTAAAAATATTTACTTTATTTTTTAAGCATTAGTATGTAATCCCTGATTATATGTACTGATAATGATTTTTTACAAGAAAAAAGTTTAAATTTAAAAAGATAACATTTATTAAGAAAAAAAAAACAGCTATTCATCACCACTGAGGAGGTTCTGTACGTCACTGAGGAGGTTCTGTACGTCACTGAGGAGGTTCTGTACGTCAGGATCAAGGTTAGGACTAGCAAATATCATGGGGTTTTTGAAAGCAACCGAAGAGATCACAGGATTGCTTCTTATTAGTAAATAATGAAATTGGTTCCGCATTACATTAATTCTAGATATTTTGCATGTGTGATTGAGTCTGTGCATGTGTGCATTTCGTATGGCCTTATTTTGTGCTTCCAGAATCTCTTCAGAATAGACTCCAATGGGAAGATCCAAATACTCAGCAATTAAAAATCCGTGTTCCAGAACCTTGAAAAGTGTAGGTGGCATAATGTACCAAGGATAGGTACCCACTATCAGCTCTAAAGTTTTATAACAGTTTGCTTTAAAAGCATCCAAGTTCGGGTGGAATCCACTGCAAACGGTATTCAATATTTTTCTTAGTATTCTAAAACTCTTTTAATAATTATTTTATCGATAAAAAGAAAAGGTAAGTTTCTAGGCAGCTGGTGCTTTTTATCATAAGAATAAAAAGAAATCCATTTAGTTTTATCAATATTTAATGATAGTTTGTTTAATCTGAACCATTCGAAATTTTGACTAGTTCAATGTTCATGTTGCTAAAAAGTGTAGAATTGTTTTTATGAGAAAGAAATAAGTTAGAATCATCAGCAAACATAATTATCATTAGGTTTGAAGCTTTTGGTAGATCATTAATATATATTAGAAATAGGAGAGGTCCTAATATGAATCCTTGAGGAACTCCACATGAAATACTTAACAAATTAGGTCATATGTTATCATCCGCATAAACAAATTGTTTTCGATTATTAAGGTAACTTATTAACCATACTAATATGTTTCCAGTAATTCCGTACCACTCCAACTTTTTAAAAATAATTTTTTGATCAATAGTATCAAAAGCTTTTGCTAAGTCAATAAAAAAACGTAAATTGAGATTTTTCAAATGACTCAAATATATTTCTTGTAAATTGTAGAATGTCATGTTCAGTAGAATTGTTTTTTTGAAATCCATATTGATTGCTGTATAATAAATTGTTTATAATAAGATGATTATACATTTTATTGTACAAAATTCTTTTTAAAACTTTAGAGAATACAGAAATTAATAAAATGGGACGATAATTATTTATATTCTCAAATTATAAACCACCTTTTAATATTGGTATGACTTGTGCTAATTTTAGAGCTTGAAAAATCAATATTGAAAAATCTTAAAGATTTTTTTAAAACATCAAATGAGTTTATATTAATGTTGCCATTAATACTATAAGGGCCTACTGCTTTGTTAGATTTTAACATTTTAAAGGCAATTTCAAATTCTTCCAAAGATAAATCAAAAGAGTTCAAGAAAGAGTTTAGAGGGAAACATAGATCATTCATTAAACTGTTAGCTATTAGAATTCTTTTTGCAAGATTTGGTCTTACAAACACCAGATATTTATTAAAATTTTCCATAATTTGTCTTTTATCATATAAAAATTTATTAATGGTGTTGTGACCAAAACTAAAAATTGTAACTAACTAAACTAAAAAAATTGTAACTAAAATTAGTCAACTAACTTTTTGGTTAACTAAAATTGCCCAACTAACTTTTTAGTTAATTTAAATTAGTCAACTAACTTTTTAGTTAACTAAAATTACCAGACTAACTTTCTAGTTAAATAAGATTACCCGACTATCTTTCCAGCTAACTAAAGTTACTCGATTAACGTTTTAGCCTAGCAAAAATTAGTTGACGTACTTTTTAGTTGACTAAAATTAACCGACTAAGTTTTTAATTAACTAAATATACCCGACTATGTTTTTAGTCCAACTAAAGAAATTTATAAATATATAATATAAATAATTTGGGTTCATGATATCATTTCTATTAGAATTTTTGAATAAGTTTGCTGATGCATGATCATTTTACCGCATAATACCGCAAAAATAAAAAAATATCAAAATAATTTTCTTTGATTTTTTAGTACCAAAGCTTTAACAAGATACTTCAAGAAAATATTTCATAAAAAATCCAAAAAGTAAACATGGTAAAACACAAATATCTTTAGAATTGAATAAGTTAACAAGGACATCGCAAAGGGATAAGGGGATGCGGTGGTTGGTTTTTTGTGTGACATCCCATCAATGAACTTTTAGCTCATTTAGTAAGCCAATTTGACTCTTTTAGATAAGTAAGTCGGCCTTTTTCTAGTCAGCTAAAATTTTAACGGCGCTCTCTACGTGTTACCTAGTTGTACCGGCCCTGTAAGCTACAGTATATTACTAAAATTCCTTTTTATTGTGTGCCACTTTTTTTGGATCCATATTATAAAAGTTTTCAATTCTTTGAAAAGTACGAGAAAAAAAAAATTTAAAATGCGTTAGAGAATTTTTGTTTGAATTTCATTTAACAAAAAAAATTTGTGATATAATTCCGGTTAAAAAGGTGGCAATCAAATCAACAATTTAAGTTATCATTTGACGATGAAGATGATGATTCCAAAAATGATAGTGACAAAATAATAAGTTTAGATTTAAAAAAAGAAATTAGTGGTTATATAAAATTGTCAGTAAATGAGCAAAATGTTTTTACACTTTTCGCATCAAAACCAACATGTGTTTCCAATATTGTATTGTATTTCAACAATGATTTTATGTACGCCTGCTACAATGCACCAAGTGAACGCCTTTTCTCCGACGCATTAAACGAAAG